GCGTGAAAGTAATTAGTAGCTGTTTAAGGGGTAGTTTAGGGAGATTGGGTAGGGGAATCTCTTGTAACTGATTGAGGGAAGCTTCCTAGAAGTTGGCTTTGGGACTTTACTGAAAATACTGATTTTAAGCTAGAGATTGAATAGCAAAAATGAAAATATCAAAAGGTTTAAAGTGCAAATAAGAATCCCTTTTATGCTGCCCTAAGACTTGCCTATAAAAGCATCTTTTATTCTTTCAAGAGTCAGAACGGGAGAGATAAAAATACAGAGAAGAGAAACGGCTAAATAACTTTAGTGAATAAAGACTATTCTATTGAACTTCATTAGTGATTTTTTTCTGAAAACAATAGTTACAGGTTTTATGATTTGAAATGGATTGACATTGGGTTTTGAGAAGTTGTTGTGGTTGAAGTTTGCTAAGGGTCACTATTCTATCGAGTTTTCAAATTGATTGTATGGTCCTACTTGATGAATCTGGGTTTAATTGTAGGCTAGAAATGGTTTGAAAATTATTTTGCTGTTTGGGTCTTGGGTTGAAATCATTGCAATATAGTTCATTTTCACTGATTTAGAGTTGTTTTCCTTCTTGGGATTTTCTACTGTTTCATTGGTTTTGTGAGTTGATTTCACTGCTCAACTAGTCGAATCTGGGACTGTCATCTGTTGCTGTTTGTTTGCTGACTGTTCACCGCTATTCTTCTTTGTGCAAATTCCAGGTACATGCTCTTAAACCTGCATAATGTGATCTTCAAGTTGAATGTGAAATGAAAAATGGAAGTTGGAAGTTTGATATTCAGTCGTGTGTGTTGTTTATGTGTTAAGCTTGATATTCAAATCTTCTTCTCTATGTAAATCTTAGCTTGTCATTCTAAATACTAATGTTGTTTAAGTTCCTATACGTCTAATGTGTACAATGTACGGATACTGTTAGTTAGATTTAGTAGTAGCCTATTCAGTTTGAGTGGCTCCTTTGATTACTGAAGTCACAAGGTGTTTTACTGCTATAGATGCAAATTTGGTAAGCACTTTCAGGATTTTGTTAAAACATGTATGTTGACTCTTAGGTGTAGTAGCTGAACGCTTATCGATCTTGAAATATTGACACCATTAAGGAATAATGCATAGGTTGTATGGTAGCATTGTACTGACTTTCAGTTGTTAATGAGGCCTACTGTCATGTTTTGATCACATAAGTGAAAGAAGGAAATGTTCTGATGATTGTCTCACATCAGTTTTTGAATTTTGGGTTTGATTGTGATTTTACTTAGTTGGTATGTTACTTCTTCAATTGTTGGTCTAAAATCAGTAACAGTCCGGGTTAATTCACAAATTTGAACAAAACAAAAATGGAATTGTGGGCAATACACGTTCGTCGGTGGATTTGTTTATTTGGACTACCGCTTTTCACTAAGACTTGGGCTCATTCAGGCTTAAGCCTGAAGGTTCAATACTGATTCGCCTTTGGTAGTTAGCTGGGTTTGATACTGACCCCCTATTTAATTGTTGCTGACTTTGAATGCATGACAAGAGTCTCGAATTCGAGTCTCGCTCCTGCTTTCTCCTTAATTTGGGCCAGGATGTTTGCAAAGCAGGGACGCGGGTTTTTCATCGTTGGGCCTTCCCCCTTCATGCCTTTGGTTCTCTTAATTATGGCACGAGCCATTCGTTGTTTTCAAATAGTCAAATCCGTTTTCTCTCTTCAATGCAAATGTTCTTTCATAAGGCTGGCCTGAACTTGGATTTATTGTTTGAAAATTGGTTCAAACTTTTAGTTTAAGCAGTGGTGACATTTTTCCTTTAATCAATTAGTGCAGGGGAGTTGTACTAGATAACACAAATAGCTTATGGCCCCTTCAAATTTTTAGTTTTCCTTTAAAATAAGTCAAGGTGCGTCGCGCCAAATAAAATCTCAAATGTGTGTCCCTCAATTATTTATTTCTTTTAAATCCTTAGAACTCGAGGCGCGCCATTTAGCAAATTTCCCATGGCCCTCGCAAAGTTAAAAATGTGTAGTTGCTTTAGGCGCGTTATTTTAATAATATTACCTTCCTAAACTCGGGTGTGCATTTCATGTGACCCAAATCCAAATCTCAACAACGTTAAATAAAATGTGTCGTAGACTGCGGGTGCATTTCATGTGGCGTGGTTCAAGACGTGTTTTAGATAACGTTGAATCTTCCTAAAATTAATTAAAAGCGGTTAATAAGCTAAAATATACCATAGGCTAAAACATGTATTAAAATCAGATAATTATGCCAATAATAACAGTTGAGCGACCGTGCTAGAACCACGGAACTCGGGAATGCCTAACACCTTCTCCCGGGATAACAGAATTCCTTACCTGGATTTCCTCGATTCAGGATTTGAACCGGTGACTTGGGACACCACACAATTATCCCAAGTGGCGACTATGAATTTAATAAATAGATAATCTCATTTCGATTGTCACTTTAATTGAAAAAACTCCCTTATGCACCCTCTCAGGGAATAGTAAAAAAGGAGGTGTGACACTCGGTCCGTGGTCTCGAGCCTCCGAGGTGACCTCCCAAAATGCCTTATTAACAAGAAATTGGTTCCCCTGATTTCACTGTAACATAATGCTAATCGTTTTTATTATACTTAATAACATCTCGTATTGGTCTATGCGTCCAACTGTGCAAAAGGCATAGCTAGGGGCTGCAGTATATATTATTTGGAATATCTACATTTTTTTTGCAGGTGAATATCTACATAAAGAAAAGGGTAATAAATGAAGTACCAACCATTGGATAAAATGAGCAAGGAAGGTTGTGTAATTGACCAGTGACTTGGCCATATATATCTCTATACTTTGGATGTAATGATCTTCCTATTTTCTTTGAGATTTGTGAGTAGAAACTATTAAATAAAGTCAGGTATTTATAGCAAGGCCTAACAGTTAATTTAATGATATAATCAATTCTTCAAATGAAACTCTAAGTGGTTGCTATTCAAAGAAGAAACAAGTAATTTAACTTTACAATGCAATAAGTCATGGAGAGGAATGAGCGAATTAAAAGGACAATATAAGAAAGACATATTTGGTTACTTTTGACTAAATCAATTATCAAAATCCTCCATAAAACTTTTATATAATTAAATTTCATAACTCCCCTAATTTTTTGAAGTAAGGATACATTTCCCTCTTGATCTTTTGCATTGAATGAAAATTCTTTGAATTACCACTGTTTGGTGGTTGTCAAAATATTTGAATATTCCGATGGAGTTTGATATATATTATGTGAAGTAATATATGAGAATTGGAAGAAAGAGAACGGTTAACGAAACAGTCCCCAACTTATAGTGGTAGAGAGAGAGAAAGGGGATTAGGGAGGAGGTTTTAAAAAATAAGAAAATAAGAAAAGAACAGAAAAGCTGAAAATTAGGAAGCTAATTGGTTTAACCGTGTAAAAAAACAGGGACAATTTCAAAAAGAAAAAGAAAATCTCCTCACTTTTTGCTCAATACTGACCTCCCTCGTCGTTTACCGTATTTCAGTTACCTCCCTTGCTTTGATATTTTTGTAACAATTCTTTTTATAACTTATTTATCATTAATATAAAGATTATCAAATGACTATTATACCCTTAATAATATAATCATCTCTTAATTTTGTGAACATATTGTTTAATGAATTCAATGAAAACGAAATGAGCTTTGGTCGAATTCAATAAATATCGAGTTGTGCGTTTAAACATTTTCCTGAAACTTTGTTACAAAGCTATTCTCTTGAACTTCTTATGGTGCTGTATTGCTGCTTCAACAATATCTGTAATTTTTAGGCCTATAATTCACTGATTAAGAAGATAATGTGAAATGTTTCGCCACTTATTTGAATCTTCTGAATTCAAATAATTTTTTCTTTTACCGGATGTGTATGCCGATTAGATGCGGCTAGAAAGGCTCTTCTGAGTGATTCATAAACCCTCGTCGGGATAAACAAGTAAGGGAGCCCTTCACTTCAAAATAATCAATCAGGACTGATGTCATCCGCGCTTCTCCTGACTATTGAAAGCGGAAGTTCAAGTTTTGAAGCTCATATTCCAGCATTCCTTTCAATTCTTTCAACCGATTTGGCAACTTTCAGGTATACAAAGTTGGTCATATTTTGTTCTTTCATAAAAAATCTCAGCCTTTCTGCAAGTTCCAATTTAGAAGGCTGAAATTGACCATTAGAAAATAATAGACAATATAAAGAATTCTCCTTAAAAGTTTATTTTGATGAGGGCCTGAATTCTCACTAGGTATTTAGAATGAAAACCTAGGAAAAAAATGATACTTAAGAAAAAGAAAAGAAGATACAGAAGTGAAAACAAAAAACGGGTAGTATTTGATAGGGAGGCTCTTCTCATGCAAGAGGTGTCAGAATTCATCTTTGTCCTTCACCCTCCACAAAAAAAATGTAATCAAATAGCATCTCAATCTTGAAGTAAATTGATAGAGAAGGATATTAAGACTAGAATTGTACTTATTCATTAATTAGTTATTACTGTTGCTTTAGTCAATTATTTTTAGCTGTTAGTTACTTGTTAGTTAATGCTTAGCTGTCTATTAGCTTTCATTTCCGGATTAGTTAGTTAGTTTAGTGCTCGATCAATGTTCACTGTATATAGGAACTACTCTACATCATAATTGAGCATCGAGTTTTATTTTCTCAATTAGAGACTCCATCTTTGTTTCCCTTTTCTTCAACCAATATTCTAGAAGCTTCTAACTGCTTCCTTTATTGTAGCTGCGAAGCTTTCTAAGCTTGCATTCCAAAGCTTGACATGGTATCAGAGCTGTTATAACGTCTAATCGATCCATAGAATTGAATTATGCAGAGTACTGCCAAAATTAGGGTTCATTTTGGTGCGACATCAATCCTCAAGCGAACAAACAAATCGAAGCTACACTCATTCAATTGAGGTTCTCTGCAACTTCATTCACTCGTTCAATCGGTGTTTCTTCTCTTTTGTTTTCTGCTTCGAGCTAAACTAATCATGGCGGTAGACGACCCAAATATAGAATTTACGACTGCGACAACAGAGATCCAATCGACAATCGATGTAAGTAGTCCACTTTATATTCATCCTTGTGACAGTCCTGGACTGGTTTTAATTCCAGTTCCTTTTGATGGGCTAGGATATCGTTCATGGAGGAGAGGTGTATTGAGGGCCCTCTCTGTTAAGAACAAATTAGGTTTCATCACTGGGGAATGTAAAAACCCTAATTCGAAGTCGATAAACTTTAGACAATGGGAGAGATGTGACGATATGGTAACTTCATGGATTTTGAATTCACTTGCTAAAGAAGAGGATAGTGTAGAGTATGTGAATCGTTCAGTTGAATTGTGGAGAGAACTTGAAGATCGTTATGATCAAACAAATGGGGCAGAACTATACTAGATCCAAAAGAAAATTAATGATTTGAGTCAAGGAGTACTAGACATTACTGGATATTACACTAAAATGAAGAAACTATATGAAGAGTTAACTAATCTTAGTGCAAAATCCCTCGGTAGCTGTCAGTACACCTACGGTGCAAAGGAAAACATGCACAAAGTTGAATAGGAAAGAAGATTGATACAATTTCTGATGGGTTTAAATGAGGTTTATACTATAGTTCGAGGGAGCATATTGATGATAAATCCCTTGTCTTCAATGGCACAAGCCTTTGCACTTCTGGTGCAAGAGGAGAAACAAAGAGAATTTCGACCTAGAAATCAACTGAATTTTGAATCTACTGCAATGAATGTTGGTACAACAACAATAACAGGATTCAAGACAAATTAATTAATAAACAACACCAGGCCTAAGCCCTTTTGTGACTTTTGTAAAAGACCAGGACACACCAAAGACAAATGTTTCAAACTTCATATACCTACAACACTTCAATCGACAAGGAGCTCAAAACAATAATTTGAATGCCCAAAATCACAGTTAGTATCCTAGGAACAACAAAGGAAAGAGCATTGCAGCAAATGCTGTAACTGGTTTACAAGGCATGCCACCAGATGCAATGACAAACCAAGGAGAAGACCTGGAGCATCAGCGAAGTCACAGTAACCAGAACATGAATCTTTCAAAGGAGCAATATTACCAAGTAGTGAGGCTGCTACAACATTTCCAAAGTGATGGTTCAGGAGATACTTCAAGCAATACAAATGCAGCCAATGGAACAATAAACTTTGCAGGTATTGTGACTTGCACATCTTCTATAGATTTTGACAAACTCTCATGCAAGTGCTTTCAAGCAAAGGCTGACTTATGTATTCTAGACTAAGGAGCTTCACACCACATGACCATTAACAAGACATACTTATAGAATATAATTGCCCTACCATATCCTTTACTTGTGAAACTACCAAATGGCTACAAAGGCAAAGTAACAGAAGTGGGAAATGTGACTCTTACACCTGAAATAGTCTTATATAGAGTCCTATTTATTCCTTCTTTCAAATACAATCTTATCTATATCAGTTCATTAATAGTACATCTCAAATGTCTATCTTCTTTCTCTAACATATGTTGTCTTCTACAGTCCCCTTTTGTGAAGAGGCCTCTGGAGATCAGTAAGGTCCATGATGGGATGTATCTTCTTTGCTCAGACTTCTTAAACAAAGGAAGCTCTACTTAGAAAAGATGAGTGCAATTTCCTCTTTCTCCATGAGAAACAGTCATGATAGTACAACACATTATTTTTCTCATTCTTGTCAATCTTGTCCTCCTATAAATATTTATTGTCCTTCCCATTCCTGTCACCCCTGTTCTACTGTAAAAATTGTGTTTCCATCCTCTATTGTAAATGCTTTTACCTGGAATAAAACAAACAAGGGTTATGATTCTGACTCTTTTTCAATTGATGCAAGTGACATAAATCTGTCATGGCACTATAGACTTGGGTATGTAACTTTTGGGAAGATGAAAGAAATGTCTAAAATACCAGTGACTTTTGTATTAAAAGAAACTTTTCTTTGCTCTATATGCCCTATGGCCAGACAGACTAGACTTTCTTTTCCCTTGAAAGTTACAAACACCACTGGTATATTTGACCTCTTACATGTTGATTTGTGAGGACCTTATCATGTACCCACTCATGACAATTTTAAATGCTTTCTTACTATAGTAGATGATTTTAGTAGATTCACTTGGACTCATATACTCAGTTGTAAAAGCAATGCATTATACACTCTCAGAAGTTTGATATCTATGGTTGAGACACAATTTACTACCAGTGTAAAGTGCATCAAATCAGATAATTGTCTGGAATTTACTAGTGGTGAAGCTACCCTATTTTTCAGTCCAAAGGAATTGAACACCGAAGAACCTGCCCTTATACCCTCAACAAAATGGCATAGTAGAAAGAAAGCATAAATACCTATTAGAAACTGCTAGAGCCTTGCTATTTCAAGCCAAACTCCCTTTGAAATATTGGGGAGAATGTGTACTTACAGCAACTTTTCTCATTAATTGATTCTCACTGTACCTTTAAAGAACAAATTTCCTTTTGAATTGTTATATGGAAAGAAACCAAATTACTCACACTTAAGAAATTTTGGTTGTCTATGCTATTCAACTAGTCCTAAACCTCACAAAGACAAGTTTGAGTTAAGGGCTTCTCCACGTGTGTTTGTAGGTTATTCTTTTGGTGTCAAGGGGTACAAAGTGTTGAGTCTAACTACCAAGAAAATCTGTGAATCTAGAGATGTTGTCTTTTATGAGTCCATCTTTCCTTTCTCTCTTCCATAAGTGTCAGTTCCCCCTCATTCCTTGACTCATACTGCTGCACATCATGACCACCCTGATATATTTCCCTCTCATCCTACTTATAGTGTCACAACTCCTCAAAGAGATGTTTCTGTTACACCTATTACATGTCACCTAATCACACCACACACTCACCTATTCCAATCTTACCTAATCACACCATACACTCATATCCTATACCTAATACCACTTCACCACAAACAACATCTCCAATTACTTCAAGAAATAATCAGCCCTCTTCTTTCACACTAAAACCCAATCAGAGAGTATCTAGTAGAGTATCTAAAGTTCTATCTTACTTGTGTGAATATGTATGTTCTGCGCTCAATCTGAAACAACATCACAATGTTGAAGTCACTCAGACTAACTCACCTTTCTCTCTCAATGCACTTTTCCCCAAAACAGTTACATTACTCCTCATGTCTTGAGTCCTGATAGCCAGCAGGTTGTGAGAAGTATTTGCAATGATAGGGAGTCCTTTTCTTATGAAGAACCAATAGGCAATCCTTCCTAGTAACATGCCATGATACAAGAATTTGAAGCACTTCATGCAAATAACACCTGGATATTAGTTCCATTTCCTGTTGGAAAGCAAGCCATATGCTGCAAGTGGGTATACAAGATCAAACATAAATAAGATTGAAGTGTATAGAGAAACAAATCTAGACTAGTTGTGAAAGGATATACACAGAAGGCATGAGTAGACTATACAAAAACTTTTTCTCAAGTAGTAAAAATGACTACGGTTAGAGCCTTAATTGCTACTGCTGCCAAGAAGAACTGGGAGCTCTTTCAGTTGTATGTAATGCTTTCTTTCATGGAGATTTTGCATGAGGAGTTCTACATGAAGTTGCCCCAAGGTCTTGCAGTCTCCTCCCCTGAACTAGTTTGCAAATTGAACAAATCTCTTTATGGCCTGAAGCAAGCCAGTAGACAGTGGTATGCTAAGCTCACTGAAGCCCTATACTCCAAAGGCTATTGTCATTCCATGCATGGTTACTCTCTATTCTTCAAGAAGACTACTGATTGTGTAGTTTTTGTGGGAGTCTATGTAGATAATGACTTACTGACAGGGAATGACCTTCCTGAGATTCATGTGTTGAAAAACTTCCTACATGAGTAGTTCAAAACCAAAGATTTAGGGAGATTGCACTACTTTTTGATACTTGAAGTACTCTACAGAGATGGTGGGATTTTAATCTCCCAAAGAAAATTTGTCCTTGATCTCCTTAAAGACTATGATTGCTTATAATATACTAGCTTTTCCACTCCCCTTGATCCCACGGTTAAGTTGAAGGCTAAGAAAGGAACACCCTTGTCTGATCCTACCTTTTACAGATAGTTGGTCGGGAAGTTGAACATCCTTACCAACACTAGACTAGATATAGCCTATGAAGAACAACACTTGAGCCAATATGTGCAAGATCCTAGAGAGCCTTACTTTCAGGTGGCCTATCACATGCTTAGATACTTGCTCAAGGATCCTACTTTGGGACTCTTCATGTCTAATGATGCTGACTTCTCAGTCCAAGCCTATTGTGATTCTGATTGGGTTGTCTGCCTTGATTCTATGAAGTCAATGCCAGGTTATATTGTTCTGTTAGGCAACAGTCCCATTAGCTAGAAATCTAAGAAGCAATAGACCATCTCCCTTTCTTCAGCAGAAGTAGAATATAGATCTATCAGGAAGGTTGTTGGTGAGCTTGTCTGGCTGCATCGTGTGCTTACAGAGCTGACTGTCCCTTCTACCCTGCTCATTTTTGTGTTTTTTGATAGTTAATCTGCTCTCTATATTGTTAGAAATCCTGTGTTTCACAAGCGCACTAAGCACATTGAAGTTGAATGCCACTTTGTGACGTCCAAGCTCCAAGAAGGTCTCATTTCACTTTAGCACATAAGGACTAGTGATCAACTTGCTGACATCCTCACAAAGTCCCTTACTGGAATCAAACATGCTACTGTCCTGGGCAAGTTGGTTGTGCTTCCCTCACCTCCAACTTGAGGGGGATATTAAGACTAGAATTGTATTTATTCAGTAGTTAGTTATTATGTTGCTTTAGTCAGTTATTGTTAGCTGTTAGTTAGTTGTTAGTTAATGCTTAGCTATTTATTAGCTGTCATTTCCTGATTAGTTAGTTAGCTTAGTGCTCAATCAGAGCTCATTGTATATAAGAACTACTCTATAGCATAATTGAGGTTTGAGTTTCATTTTCTCAGTTAGAGACTCCATCTTTGTTTCCCTTTTCTTCTGCCAATATTTCGGAAACTTCTAACCGCTTCCTCCATTGTAGCTACGAAGCTTTCTAAGCATGCACTCCAAAGCTTGACAAAGGAACTAATTAGTGTTGGATTATTCCTTTAATAAAATTGGGTTGTTTATTAATAAAGAATTTGCTAAAGAAATATTAAAAAATTGATTAATTAAAATAGTTTAATATTGGAAAAGGGCAAATCAGTCATATTGAATTTTATTACATTAGTAATATCAAATAAAGAACCTTTACAAAAAATATCAAACAAAGAAAATAACTGTAATATCGTAAATTAGAAAGGAAGATAGTGTGATGAAGCGAAACATCAGAGGAAGTATATGAAAATATCTGAAAAAATGACGGTAGATATTAGTTAAACTCTTCGGATAAGGGGCATCATATATTAGTCCATTTCCATTTTATTTATTTGTAGCTGGTTTTCTCTTCCATTTTGGAATTTTTTTTTTGTGATAGCCTGTTAAGTTGTGTGTTAGATATATATTTTCTTTTTTTATGTTTCCTCACTTTACCTTGCCTGGTATAAATCTTGTCATCATTTCCTATAAAGTATGATATTTGGTAGTATTACTTATGCAACTCTTTATTTCTGCTGTAAAGTATTCCTGCTTTTGGTAATATAACTTCTGCCATCGAAAAAATGTAACTTGGGTTTAACTCAATATCCAAAAATAAGCTAATGAAGTGAGAGTTGTCCATGATCATATCTACCCACATCAAAGACTAGACATCTAGAGCTTGAATAAAACTCGGGAGTCCAACACTGAGCAAACGAAGAATAAGATATGTTGGCGCCAATTTTACATAAAGAAAGTGAATCTTAGACCTAACTTAACCCCAAGAGTTACCTCATGAAGTAATAATTGCCTAAAACCATATGAAAGGATAATAATCTATTTTTATCAACCAATGCAGGAGTGTAAATGATAGACTAATGGCTATTAAATTAGTGGTTGGAGGGCGTACTTTGAACGTTATTAGCGCTTATGCTCCCCAAGTGGGCCTAAATGAGGAGGTTAAAAGGCACTTTTAGGATAGTTTGGATGAGGTTGTCCATGGCATTCTGTCCATTGAAAGGATATTCATAAGAGGGGATTTTAATGGGCGCATTGGAGGTCTGTTAGGTGCTATGATGAGGTGCATGACAGCTTTGGCTTTGGGGTCGAAAATGAAGGAGGTAAGTCGCCGTAAATGATTTGGTGATATCAAACTCGAGTTTTTATAAAAGAGAGGAGCACTTGGTTACCTTCAAGAGCACGACGGCCAACACCCAAATTGACTATATCCTTCTCTGGAGATATGATAAAGGTATGTGTACTTATTGAAAGGTTATTCCGAGTGAGAACCTCATGACCCAGCATAGGTTTTTGGTGATGGACTTAGATATCGTACTGAAGAGGAAAAAGAGGGTTGGGTGTGGTCGATCGAAGATCAGGTAGGGAGCTCTTACTAAGGACAAAGTGAAGGAGTTGCAAGAGAAGTTATTGGTTGTAGGGGCTTGGAGGAAAAGTAGGGACGCGAGTAGTATATGGATGCGGACGACATACTACATTAGGGAGGCTGTGAGAGTGGTGTTATGGGTCTCTAAAGGTTATGTTGAAGGCCACAAAGGAGACAGGTGGTGGAATGAGGAGGTTCAAAGGAATGTAGAAGCCAATAAGTAGCATATTTGATGTTAGTAGAGAGCACAGACGAGGAGGAGGAGAGGAACATCAGAGAATGGTACAAGAAGGCTAAGAAGGAGGCGAAGTTACAGGTCATAGAGGCTAAGACTGCATTGTTTGCTCGTTTGTATGAAGAACTGAGGGACAAAGGCAGGTGCATAAAGTTATTTGGCTGGCTAAGGTGGGTGAGAGGAAGGCTCGTTATCTGGACCAAGTGAGGTGCATCAAAGACGAGGACGATAACGTTTTAATGAAGGAGGCACGAATCAAGCGAAGGTGGCAGACTTACTTCTATGAACTCCTGAATGAAAAGGGAGATAGAAGCATTGTGCTGGGCGATTAGGAGCACGCCGAGAGCCATTGTGATTTTTGGTACTGTAGGTGCTTTATTTTTGAGGAGGTCACAAGTGTGGTACATAAAATGAGCAGGGGCGGAGCGACCAGGCCAGATGATATCCCAGTTGAATTCTGAAGGTATGTGGGTAGGGCTGGATTGGAGTGGCTAGTTGGGTTATTTAACGGTATTTCTAAGGGCAAAGAAGATGCCCTAGAGTGGAGGTAGAGTATGATGATCCCATTGTACAAGAACAAAGGATATATCAAAATTTTCAACAATTATAAGGATATCAAGTAGCTTAGTCACATTATGAAAGTGTGGGAAAGGGTGGTTGGAGCGAGGGTTATAAAGATGGTATCTATTTTCGAAAATCAGTTCGGTTTCATGTCGGGATATTCGACTAGGAAAACCATCCATCTTGTTAGGAGGTTGGTAGAGCAGTACATGGATAGGTAGAAAGATTTACATATGGTGTTTATTGAACTAGAGAAAGTGTACGACAAGGTCCCTGGGGAGGTCCTTTGGAGATGCTTGGAGGCTATATGTGTTCCTGTAGCGTACATGAGACTGACTAAGGAAATGTATGATAGAGCTAAAACTCAAGTGAGGACAGTGGGAGGAGACTCGGAACATTTTCGGTTTGGATGGGACTACAACAAGGATCTACGCTCAGCCCATTTTGACGATGGATACGCTGATGTGTCATATTCAACGGGGGGTGCTATGGTGTATTTTATTCACTGACAACATAATGTTGATTGATGAGATGCGAGACGATGTCAACGAGAAGTTGGAGGTTTGGTGACAGACCATAGAGTCTAAGGGTTTCAAGTTGAGCAAGACAAAAGCACAGTACCTAGAGTGCAAGTTCAACATAGTGTCAGGGGGAGCAGATATAGACATGAGGCTTGATTCACTAGTCATCCCCAAGAAAGCAAGTTTCAACTATCTTGGGTCAGTTATCAAAGGGGACAGGGAGATTGACAAGGATGTCACACACTGTATAGGGGCAGGGTGGATGAAATGGAGGCTAGAATCTGACGTTCTGTGTGACATGAATGTGCCACCAAATATTTAGGGCCAGTTCTACAAGGCGAAGGTGAGACGACTATGCTGTATGGGGAAGAATGTTGGCCAATCAAGAACTCTCATATCTAGAAGATAAACGTAGACGAAATAAAGATGTTGCGATGGATGTGCGGGCATACTAGGTTGGACAAGATTAGAAATAAGGTTATTCAGAGAAAGTGGGCGTGGCCCCTATGGAAGATAAGATGCATGAAACGAGGCTTAGATTGTTCGGGCATGTGAGATGGAGAAGCCTAGATGCCCCACTGAAGAGGTGTGAATGGTTGGCGCTGGTAGGTAGGAGAAAAGGTACAGTGCAGCCTAAGATGTACTGGGAGATATGATCAGGCAGGACATGACGTGACTTCAGCTTACCGAAGACATGACCCTTGACAGGAGGGTATGGAGGTCGATGATTATGGTAGAAGGGCAATGGGTCGTTGTGTATTTTTCTGATCAGTTCCGAGTTTATTAGGGCTAGCGGACTAGTACATTGTCTTCGATTCTTAGAATGACAGTATTATATTAAGGTTGTTTTAATACTATCTTCCGCTTCGATTTTCTAGTACCCTATCGTATTACTGCTTGTGGCTATTACCTTTTCTATTGCTATTGCTACTGCTTTCTTTCATTTATTTTTCCCAGAACATTACATTGTTGATATCATTTTTCTGGCCTTGTTGTTGTTATTTACTACTTTCTATTCTCCCTGTTGTGCCAAGGGTCATTCGGAAACATCCTTTCTATCCTCTAGGATAGGGGTAAGGTATGCACACATATTACTCTTCCCAGACCCTACTTGTGAGATCCCACTGAGTTATTGTTGTTGGCTTTGTTATCAACAAAAATGTAGGACACTTAATAATAGCATTTATTGGTTTCCTGTATTAAAATTCATATAATTTATGGGGACTTTAAAACCAGAAAGCAAACATTTGGTTATTAATATTGGTAAAATATACGCGAAAATCTAGGTTTTAACTTTTACGAGATAGAGTGTGAACAAGTGGATTAGAGTATTTAAATAAAGTTAAAATGCTCTTAAAAATGGCAGTCCTTACATAATAATCCTCGTATTATTTTTCATTGTATAACAAATTCACGCATTATTATACAGTAAGTTATGATCTCTACATTCTTATATATTGTACTCCTTGTTTTATTGGATACGAAGTTTAAGAAAAAAATTAAGACATTTGAAATTTGTGGTCCTAAACAAGTCCAAATGGGCCCAGAGTATTTGTGTGGTTATATAAGCTTCTCATTAAAGATAGAGTTGTAACTTTAAGCTAAATTGTTACCAAATTTAGAAAGAGTTCATTTTTTTTGGAACGGACCAAAAAGGAAATAAGTTCACATAAACTGGAACAGAGGAAGTATAAACAATCGCTGTGTTATAATCCTCATATAACTGAGCTGTAGACTAAAAGATGTTGATACTATCAGTAACTATGCAAAAACATTTATGTTTATTATTTAAAGGTAAAACTTTTCACACATGCATCAAATCATATATGCTATTGACATTCTTTTTCGAAATGTTGCTAGTTTTCCTCACAATTTTGGTTCAATTATTTTTTCTCCCGCAACCTTCTTGAGATTTTGATGACTTTTCACTTTTTTCAGTATTTCGAGTAACACATTAAATATGATATGAGTTTTTAAAACCACCGATTGATTTTTTTCTTTTGCTTAGATAGATGTCGATGATAATCAGCTCTCATATTATAGAATTAGCTGATGATAAGCTCGAAATGTAGTAGTAGTATTTTTACTAGGCTGAATACATCCATAAATACATAAATTCGGTACGATATTTTATTTAGATGTTTAACCTTAGCTGTCATTTTTTATTCCCAACTTTCACTTATTGAAATTCATCTTATTAGAGTTGCATCTATTAAATCATTAATGCTGACATGGCGGATTGCGCATTTCATACCTGACATTAGCCTATAAAATAACTTTCCCATAGCTATTGACATTTTTTTTTTGAGTTTCTTCTCAACCTCCTAGTCGCTAACGAAATATTAGTGTTTTGATTTTTTGAAAATGGAGAGGAAGCAAGGGTTTGGAAAATTGAGCAATTTCCCTCTTATTACAGTCCGAAAAAAGTTTGAAGTTTTGCATGATTGCTAGCATAATTTGTGGATCACTCGATTAATTTTGTTTTTTTTCTTTCATAAATCTTGGCATGTCTTGCCCTCTGAAGAAAAATGGGGCGAGGGGCAAATATAAGAGATGAAAATTAGAGTTACTCTAAATTTTTTACAATGTTTTATGAATCTTTTTTACTTTAGTTTGGTGGATATGTCTCACAACCGAATTCTCCCTCCGTAAGATGTTGTGGCGGCACCTGGTCTCTACGGCTAGGTAAGCTTAACATTTGCGAAATAACAAAATGAAAGTAAAAATTTACCAACTAACTGCAACAGAAAATTAAATAACTAATAAAAATGCCGATCGGCATGTACAATAACCAACACTCTATTATACATAGTACTCCCAAAATCCGAAAAATCATAAGTCACAAGCTACAAAAGAAAAACTAGTATCTTTATATGTCAAAGTCTAAAAAAAGGCACGGAAAATTAAATGACATAGGAGGGAATAGAGGGGAACTCTGACGTTCCTGGACGCGGGCAGATATACCTTGAAGTTCCGTAATCTCGCTGCTCGCTGATAACGAGGCTGAAAATAAGTACCCGGATTTCCACATAAAACATATGCAGAAGAGTAGCATGAGTACACTACAACGGTACCAAGTAAGTGCCAAGCCTAACCTCGGTCGGGTGGTGCCGAGGTTAGGTCAGAGCCCTACTGGTATATAATAAATGAGGCAGACGAATATAGCAGTGTAATAAGAGACTGGAATTTAACAAAGAGAAAACCATAGAGAAATAACAGCACAACACATTGGGATAAAACAGCAGGGAATCTCCCAAAATACCGTCTCGTAGTCCCAAAAGTAAATGCACAGGGAGATCAATCGAGGTACCGCCTCGTAGTCTCAAAAGCAAATGTTTAGGGGGATCTCCCGAGGTACCGCCTCATAGTCCAAAAAGTAAATGTACATGGGGATCTCCCGAGGTACCGCTCGTAGTACAAAAAATAAACACACAACCCGAAATTGATGAATACAACAATTAACAGCAAGAATCCTACAGTTAAGACTGATACAGATAAAGGAAAAAAACATGAAATCAACTAATCATGATGCACAAGTGTTCAAATAAGCAGTTAAGACACGTAGACATGCGATATTTAAGCTAAACAGGATAACTACACATGTTGGTATAGATCAATTAAGATGAAACATGTTATTACTCAGTAAAAATCATGTTTTTACAACAATTAGCTCGTGTACACACTCGTCACCTCGCGTACATAGCGCTCTCATATCATAAAAGTATCACAATAGTACCAAATCCTAAGGGGATTTCTCCAACACAAGGTTAGGCAAACCACTTACCTCGAACCAAGCTCAATCAATCAGTAAGAATGCCTTTTCCATGATTTTCCGACTCCGAATGGACCAAATCTACCCAAAATCAATTATATACCATAAATATAACTATAAGAAACTAATATAATTAATGAAATCAAGGCTTAAAAGTCGATCCGGGACCATGTCTCGAAATCGCGTAAAAGTCACAAAATATGAACACTCATTCACTCACGAGTTCACTCGCACCAAAATTATCCAAATATGATATCAAAATCCGAATAGAATCTCAAAATTTAGTTGAAGAACTTTCCAACTTTTTTCCTAAATTTCTCAACCCAATTCCTTAATTAAATGATGAAATCAACTATAGATTAATAGAATATAACCATAAATGAGTTAAGAATCGTCACCTGATAACTCCCTCTGAACATCCTTCAAATTATCGCCTAAATCCAAGCTCTTAAAGCCCAAAAATGAAGAATAGGATAAAACCCTCGAACTTAGCTTTTTCTTCCAAGCGATCTTCGTACCTGCGACCCTCAGTCACACCTGCGGAAATTCCATCGTAGGTGTAGAATTGAATTAAGAGGCCTGGGTCCGCTTTTGCGATGAGGTGGCCGCACCTGCGGACAATTGTCCACTTCTGCGGACTTTCTCTTCCAGTTCACTCTCCGCATCTGCGAGCTCGTAGATGCGGTATTTCCCTCACACATGCGACCCCTGGCCACCGATTCTAATCCCGCTTCTACGCTTGATATCACGCATGTGTCCGCACCTGCGGCACCGCAGGTGCGATTACACTAGAAGCTTGAGAGCTTCAGCAATTTACACAAGTTAAATTTTGATTCATTAAGCATCTGAAACTCACCTGAGGCCCCCCGGGACCTCAATCAAACATACCAACAAGTCCTAAAACATTATCTGAACTTAGTCAAGCCCTCAACCCACATCAAACAATAATAAAATCATGAATGCCCCTCCAATTCAACGTCTGGACACGCTCCTAAGTCCAAAATCACCCAACGGAGCTAACGGGACTAATGAAACTCCATTCCGGAGTTGTCTTCACACAGTTCCAACTACAGTAAATATCCTTGAACTTAAGCTTCCGTTTTAGGGACTAAGTGTCCCGAAACACTACGATACCAAAAACAGAACCTCCCAACAAGTCACATAAGCAGAAAAAATACGGGGAAAACAATAAATAGGGGATCGAGGCTATTTCTCTCAAAACGACCGACCGGGTCGTTACATCATCCCCCTTTTAAAACAATCGTTAGTCCTTGAGAAAGCATAGGGACATACCTGAAGTGATGAAAAAATAAGGATAACGGCTGCATATCTCTTGCTCGGTCTCCCAAGTTGCCTACTCGACCAGCTGACCCCTCCGTTGAACCTTCACTGAAGCGATGTTCTTTGACCTCAACTTTCGAACCTGCCAGCCCAAAATAGTCACCGGCTCCTCAACATAAAATATATCCTTGTCCAACTAGACTGAAATGAAATCTAACACATGAGACTGATCACCGTGATAATTCCGGAGCATATAAACATGGAATAAT